ATTCTTTTCATACTCCTTATTTATCTAATTTTTTTTTATAATTTAAATATGATACATTTCCGAACAGATAAAGTCGGGTATAACTATCTTTAATGCCCATCTGATGCAGTGAATAACTTAATATTAATAGTGCACTAATTGCTCAAAATCTTCGATTTTGACCTAACCAAACAGTTTTCATTTCAAAAAATGCATCAAGAGCGGCCCAACTAAAGTAACATGGTGGGCTTCAGGTTGGACCAAAAGATGGATGTTTAAGGCCTGAGGCCCATGAGTACAATACCTGCTAGACCGTTCCTGAGTATAAAAACAGAACAGAGCACCACCGCATTGAAAATTGACAGAGACCACGAGACGAGTTCTATCGTAATTTTGGCATTCGCAGAATACTAAGGCTCCGTTATCCTACCGCTATTTATAATCGATCCTCCCAACTCCCATTCAACATCGTCGTTTTCCAAGTTCCGTTAATTTCCGTTTCATGTTTGAATTTTACTGATTTCTCTCCTGCATTTTCACCGACAATTGCCCTTACCGTCCCCGAAAGCAAAATCTAGATTACTGATCCATCTTCATCTAAATTACTTCAAGATCAGCGTAATTTTGCTCTGATTATTGATTTTGTTAGCTCCGGGAAGTTGGTGTTTTGTTTAAAAGTTTGATTTTGTTTCCATGAAAACGTTTTCTCTATCTGGTTAGTGTGGATTTGGTCCGTTCCCGTATGACCTTGAAACTAGATTCATCTTGTTGCTTTTTTATTATATTTCCTTGAACTCTTTTCCTTCTTTTTTGGAAAAACACTGGACCAACAAGAAATTGTTGGATTTGGAGTCTTGGACTCCTATCTCCTTGGTCTATCAGAAGGCGTTACAATTAGAACATCTCATTCAAACTAACAATCAGTATCCAGAATCATTGTTCATTACTAAGACTGCAAGAAGTGCATCTGCTTCCCTGTAATCCTTTAAGTTTGTTGTGGCTAGCAAATCTGTAGCAACACTGATGTTGAAGAACAAAGACGCTTCTGTAAGTAGTCTTAGCAGAAGCACTGGATGAGTTGGGCTATGCCTAAGCTGGAAAAAGGAAGTCCATAGGCTACTCTACTCTGGTCACACGCCTTGAAATTGGTAAATTTCCATACAAGTAGCAAGATATTGGGACACCCCACCTGCTGAGAGCACAATTGTACACCTACAAAAACTTGTATAATTCAGATTCGAACAGGCATAAAACTTGCGTATATCATGAGTCTTTTCAAAAGTGTAGGCATAATGGTTAATTAAGACTTACTGAAGATAAAGCAAGCATACCAGAATTATCTTACACTGAATGAGAGCTGTTTTGGTCCTTTCCTCCAGCAATTGTTTGCTTATTTGATGATGATCTGTTAAGAGTTAAAGTCAACGATCAATGCAAAACAAGCGCATTCAATTGATAGTTAAACTTTAATATAATTGAAATTAAAAAAATAATAACAATAATAATCAAAGATGCCTCGATGTACTCATAAGCTAACTAAAGCAAGCTCTATTTGAGTCTAGCTGCAGTGAGTAAAATTGAGCATCCCCAAGAACTCGCTGGATGATTCAAATTTTTAAAGAACGTGAGTTAATTTTATCATATGACCTTGCTAACTTAAAATCCTATATACTTGAAACGCAATGGCATAATAAGACTCATAAAAGATATAGAAAGCATACCAGAGTAAACTTCTTTTGCTTGGTGAAGCTACTTTCCACCCATTTCTCTTCTATTACTTGCTTATTGGATGAGTGTCTCTTATGTGTTTTAAGCCCAATGACCTAAAAGTATACTGATATACCATACGCACAGACAGGCATGCACAGGTGTAATAGCCAAATTATAATTTACTAAGAAATAGGAATAGTTCTAACTGTCTTTAGTGTTTTGCATTGTCCCACAAAAATTAAAACAAATAATGATAGAGTCACAGTATCATAACCATAAGCAGCAGTCCAGAAATGCAATGTCATAAATGAAACAAAAGCCTGAATACAAAGTCCCCCCAAGAGAATCTCAAACAACCTCAGGTTCTTCAGAAGTTTGAATACAAAGGGCCAATAGTTCAGCGCCTGCAAGGCTGCCACCATAAAATGCATTCGAGTATTGTGTATTTGTCATGCAACCCTCTGCTTCATGAGAACACATCAAAAACATTTTAAAGATATGCTTAACCAACATGAATCAATTTAATTCATTTAATTTTTTATGGTGACATACCTATGTCAGGATCCCTCTTTTGAAGGACCAAGGCTTGTGATAATTTGAAACAAGATGGTTGTACACAAACATACTGAAATCAAACCCACACCACTGTAGCTGTTCAGAGAAGATTACATATGATAATTAAATAGCCGTCTTAGGAAGTGAAAATTTAAAAGTAACTGCACAGAAAAGCATATGCATTTAAAATAAATTTTAAGATCATAATTTTTCTATTAATGATCTAAGCTCAGAATCAGTCATACTGAAATATGTTTACCTTCTTGGAAATGCAGTCAAACTTATGCCAATTTTGCTCAAATCAGGTGACAGGTCCTGAGGTTCAACTGCATTATAACTTTCAGTTTATTGCTTAGAATTGTTAAGAGAGAGACCTTGAAGACAGTTTTGTACTCCACTCTACATCAATCAAGTCACTCCATTGAATTGGTTGGTTTTCTAAGAATTAGAAATGACATATCAAACATCCTCCCAAATTTGAACTAATCAAAAATGAGGGCCTTGAAATAGATTGCATGATCCAATTTTCCAAGTGGGCTAGAATTTTTTTTTTTTTAATCCTAAGACGTGCTCAAATGCAAAACAAAAATGTTTAAAAGTTAAAACCCATAAAAGACCCAGCAAACATTCCAATATTGTCTTTTGCTGGGCAGAAATTGCTGCTTTCCTTCCTTTCCTCTTGCTATCTTTGGAATATCTGATAAAATTTCAGAAGGCTTGAAAAGTGGGAGTATATTTCCAAGTTACAAGTGCCTAGCATAATCAAAGGAAAAGGGCCAAAAAGCCAAAGCAATTTCAGGGGAACCAGAGCCTGCTTGTTCTCGTACACTCCTGTGTATAAGATGAGTTTAAAACTGTATGGTCAATGCAAAATAATTGGTTAAACACAAGCATATGATAGCAGAATTAGGACCTAGCTATTACCAGGGTGGTTCAGTATATTACCTGTCAAAGTTTTCCCTCATAGAGGAACAAAAAGGATGAGATTTCACAAGTTTTCCAATGTGGTCATATGCTACACATGGCATTCTCCTGAACAAATTGGTTGGTTTTCAAAGAAGTAGCAAACTAATTGAGGAAGAAAATACTCTCGAACATCTCTTCCAATTAAGGGCTAAAACTGAACACCTTTTGAAAATCAAGTGTACTCTGTATGATCCAAATTGTGAAGAAGATAAGAGTTCAATACATTATATTCAACATATATGAAAAGAACAATTCTGTGATGTCTAACATTGTTATGAACTGATCAAATGAAGAAAGGAATGCATGACTTTTGTAATATGGTTGCGCTTTAAAAAAACCAAATATATAGAACAGATTGCTTACCTGAATTCATGTATGTTAACAAAGGGCTTTCACAATCTACCTGCTGAAAGACAAAAAAATATAATGAAAAGCTCTAATGTTGGGAACTTAGTGGCAGTTCACAATGTTTGAACAATTTTTAGTTTATGAATAGAAATCTTAAAATTTTTCCTTTTCATATGAATTACTGGGGAAAGAAATTGGCTTTGTTGATCATTAAAAGTGAAGGGCAAAGAGTTAAATTGATCAAGTGAAGAGTGAGGAATATCCTTGACTCAAGGTTAAATTCCGAACTCTAGAAATTTTGTTTCCATTAACTCATTGATTATTCAGTAATATTTTGCTACATGCGATATAAGAATGAATCAAATATAAAGTCTGCTTGTCCCTCACACTCCTTAAATGTATAAAAAAAGTTAATTTGATCAAGTGAAGAGTAATGAATTAATTACCTCAATGTTGAAGCTTCTAGGAGTGCAATTCTGAATTCTAGAAATCATCATTCCATCTACATGCAATATAAGAAAATGAATCAAAAGTAACAAAAAGGAAAACATGAATTTATTTATGGTTTGAGAGAGAATAAACAATTTTGATGGGATAACATTAATTGGCGGCACCCAACAGCAATGGAGGGAGCAGCACCAATCAAGTTAATTGATAGAGGATGAGGAGAGAGATTTTACATTTTGGTGTTGGGAATTCGTACAAGTACAGTTGTGAGAAAAACAAAACACAAACCTCTTTGCCTCAGTGTTTGGATTGGAATTGGATGATCTACCCAGCCATTCTGATGTATGGAATGTGAGAAATCTTATGCCAGTAGTCAGGACCGCTTCCCTCGGTGCATCTTTCCATTAACTTGTTTGGGCGGCTCCAAATATCAAGTCGTTGTAGGGAGGATAAATTGTTGAACCAGTCTGGCAAAGATTCCATTCCACTGAAGTAGTATATACTCAACTCCTTAAGAGCAGTGAGGTGTTGAATATCTGGCAGCTGAGTTAGTTTTTCCCATCCCCACAGTTTCAACTGCTCAAGGGAGGCGTGGATGGAACTCAGACTTGGGAATTCTTCCAACTCTTCTGAGAAACGGCCGATCTCTAATCTCTTCAACCTAGTACAACAGCCGAGACTCTTCTCTAGGAAGCCCACCATTTTTGGACAGCCTAAAATTTTTAAAGAATGCAGTTCCTTCAACTCTCCTTGACAAGAGACTAGATTGGGGCACTTTGTTATCTCCAATTCCTCAAGAGATGACAGCCCACCTAATAGACACCTCAACCGAGTACAATCCCTAATTTGAAGTGTTTTAAGACAAGAAAGGTTCCCCAATAAAGCTTCTTCCACTCCATTGAAGCTTGTGATAATTAAGTACCTGAGAGCTGTGAGGCGTTGAATTTGAAGTGGCAGAGTTAGCGATTTGGCCCATCCTTCCAAACGCAAGACTTCAAGGGAGGCTGTAGTGGGAGTGGAAGTGGAACTCAAATTTGGAAATTCCTCCAACTCTTTTGAGAAAGGGCCAAGCTCTAACGTCTTCAAGCAGGAAAGAAAGCCGAGTATCTCCTCAGGGAAGCTCCTCAAATTTCGACAATGCCCAATTTTCACCAGAACAAGAGATGATAAGTGTTTCAATTCTTCAGGAATAGAAACTAAATTAGAGCAATTCCGTATCTCCAATTCCTCCAGAGCAGTGCACGATGAGAACCCAGTAGGTAGACACTCTAATCCATCACAATTTTCTACATATAGTGTTTTCAGAGAGACAAGTCCTTCTAGACTTGGAACAAACTTCAATTTAGGACACTGTTCCAGATATAAGTGCTTGAGACATGTGGAGCTTGATAGGCTATCTCCTATGCTATTTATCACCCTGCAATTGTTAATCTTGAGTACCTCCAGAGATGATAATCCATTAACTAAAAGTCTTTCTAACTCATCACACCAATATATGAATAATTTTTTGAGGGACATCGATGTAAGCACTGCTTCATCACCATCACCCAAGCTAGTTAATTTACAACACCACTCAATAGAAAGCCGCTGAAGAGATGAAAACCAATTGATACCTGAAATTCTGTATAGCATGCTGCAATTATAAATCTTCAGATCCACCAAATTGTTGAGTAACATCAATTCTTCACTGCTTTTCGACATCCATGATGCCAAGTTTCTTCCTTCATAGCTTTCAATTCTTAATATTCTTATATTTGAGTGAGGCTTGAGGCCTTCCAAGACATCTTCATCTTTAACCCGATTGCCTTCGCCTTTCTGCCAACATAAAGCCAAATCCTCAACTGCCTTCTCATGTAACTTTGCTGTCTTTGCTTCTGATTTGTCTTTAACAAGCTCAAGGTTACAAATCCTTAGTCTTCCTTTGAGTCCCCTTAAGCTTCCCAATTCTTCAATTTTACATCCCTTTGTTGTACCTACAAAAAACAATGGCAATGTTTGCAGGCTGGTTAGTCTCCCAAGGTTTGCAGGCATACACTTTTCATCATTGAAATAAATATGCCTCAAGTTGATTAAATCTCCTATTCCTCTTGGGGGCATTTTAAGAGATCTGCAATCCATGAATCTAAATGTCTGCAAATTGTATAGCTTGGTGATGAACTTGGGCAGTTCTTCTATTTCAGTTCCTGATATGTCCAAGTACCTCAACCTCTCTGAGTTGCTAAAGCATGTTGGCAATTGTTTTGCATCAGAAGCATGATGAAGGCTGAGAACCCGTAACCTTTTGAATTTTACTGCTCCTATACTACAAGGAAAACCATGATTTGAGAACAAAGTGCATAATTTTGGAGCTACATCTCCTAAGTTGGTTGGCACACCATGAATGAGATTCAAATGCTGAAACTGATCAGAAATTAGAATGTCAGACCCAGAACCAGAAACATTACCCCCAGATCCTCCATTGAAAATCACTGCACCAAATTTTGAAACTGATTCTGCAAGATCATGAATTAAATCATGCATTTTACAAGATTTAACATTCCCAAAATAATCTCTTTCTTCCTCTTGAAATAGAGAATATGATAACAATTCAATAAAGTACTTGGTACCCAAATCCTCCATTGAATTTCCTTCAGATGGTTGGAGGTATCCTTCAGCCATCCAAAGCTGAATTAAAACATGCCTTTCCATGACAAAAGCCTTGGGAAAAATAGAACAAAATGCAAAACACTGCTTCAAAGCTAGTTTTGGCAATTGATGAAAGCTCAATTGTAAAACATGCATGATCCTATTATGCTGATGTTCAAGTGAACTCAATGCATCCATCTTCCTCTCAACTGACAACCACTCATCTCTATCCCTTTTATTGCACAAAGTCCCTCCTATAACAACTGCAACTAATGGGGAACCTCCACATTTGTTACCTATTTTCTGTCCAATTTCTTCCAATTCTGGAGGTACAGTAGCATTTCCAAATGTTCTCCCCTTGATTATAGGCCAACATTCGTTATCTTCTAGTTGCTTAAGATGAAGCATGTGTTTAGGAAGTGTTCCCATTGTAGCTGCAACTTTTTCACTTCGAGTTGTCACAACAACTCTATTCCCTGGCTTTCTACTAATTGACAACAAACAATTTCTTAATTCATCCCATTTTCCACTGTCCTCATTCCACACATCATCTAGAATCAAAAGATAGCTTTTCTCCTTCTCCATTTTCTCCAACTCTTCTCTTAACTTCTCAATTAGAGAATTTGTATTTTTTATTGTAGTGGGAGCGTTGGTAAGACACTCCAACATTTCCCCTAAAATCCTCTGGACATCAAAATTTACTGACACAGAAACCCACATTTTATTTTTGCCAAAATATTGACATATTTTATCAGTTGCATACACTGCTTTGGCTATGGTAGTTTTGCCAAGGCCTGGCATACCCCATATAGAAATGATAGACAGAACTTCCTGATTACTAGAGTTATCAGTTAACAAGCTAACTATTTGATCAACATTTTTATCTCTTCCAACAACCTTTAGTGATGGATCAGCTGTAGAAGGTAGAAAAGAGTGGGTCTGCTGGTTTACTATAGGCACGGGAACACTAGTGTTTGCATATTTCTGTTGCAGCCCCATACGATTGGCCGAACCACAAATATTATCAAGGAGTACATTCAGGTTCTTAACTTTATTAGCCATCCTAAGGCGGAACACCAGGGGATGATGGTTAGAAGGAGTAAAAAAGTAGCTGACCTTCTTCCAATACGAGTTTGGAACTGCTACCTGACGCCTCAGATTATGGTAGGCGACCTCTTCCAGCACATCATCAGCCTCTTCAGCAACAGCTCGAAGCTCCTGAAGCCAAGCTTGAAGATGAGCAGGCTGGCCAGTTGCATGCTTTTCGGCTGCATCTTGCAGCAGACCTCCGAGCATCTTCATTGTGGTACGGAACTTTTTCAGGTCCTCCTTCCATCCCCAAACTAAATTGAGCTGCTCTGAAGCAACCGCAACCACCTTGGACACAGCGGCATCTACGACCGGGCTAAGGTCGGCCATCTTTGTTTCAATTCAATAGTTTGAAGAAAGTGGAAAGTCTATGTTGGCAAAAAAGAAGAAAAATGAAAATGGTGCGTTAGTGGGTGTGCGGAATCAATTCATTTTGTTGTCTACTAGTATTTTTCTTACATTTCATGAGTGAAATTTTTTTTCTTTTTCTTTGGTAGGATATAGATTTAACTTCGTAATTCGGAAATTCTAGAAATATACTATCAAACAATGGAAATATGGAATTGTAAAATTTGACTTTTGGAGGTTTCAACTTTGAACAAATTAAATTACTGCAATCTTAAAAGCAAATACATAAACTTATTCTTACTTAACAAACCAAGATATAATACATACCTGCAGGTTCAGACTTGAGATGGTTTTTACCAATGCCTTAGAATTGAGAAAGCAATGAAAATGTATTTTAGTTGGGTTTTATTTTTTTTATTTTTTTTATTTTTTGCTGAGATCTTTTTGGGAAAATGTGTAAGCGATTTTAGCCTTTTAGGGAGTTTGAGAGAATAGAGCAAAAACATGCAGGCAAGCTATATGAGAGTTTTTATAATCACCCAAAATGCTAAACCTCTTTGACAAGAAAAGTGGAGTTTAAAATGCAGCAAAGAACTCAAGGATTCTTATCCTCTGCAAGAAGGAGGGTATAAATTGTATGATAATTAAGCTAGGCAACTAAGTAAAGAAGTTAGTCGTGCAGCTGAAAAGCAAGGAATTAATTATAGAAACTGGAAATGAACAAGTAAAGAAGGAGAGGAGGACTTGATAAAAGAAACAAGAAAAGGATCTAACAGCCCTTTGCTTTGGATTTTATTCTTTTTTCCTTTTTAAATGTAAAGAACACAACTTGATTGAATACGTACAAACTGACTGAAAAAAAAAAAAAAAAATGAAATGAACACAGGACATAGTTTATGTTTTAAGAACAAAATGATTTTATTCTAATCCTCTTACAAAGCAAATCAACCCCAAATCCCCAAACACTATGCTGTATAACAGAAGGATACCCTCCACTTCCTTTATTTCTTTATTAAATTTCAAATTTTTAACCACTTCTATAATAGGATCTATATTTGCATTCCCTCGTTTGGTTACAATGGCAATTACGTTTCTCCAAAATAAAAAGCAAATGGAACGCACTTTGATCTGCAGGTCAATTCTCATACTCGACTTTTCTCGAACAAATAATAACCTAACACTGCATTTCTTTTTATAAAAAAAAAAAAAATCTATATTTATATTTAAATGTCTTTCTGATACAGTTAATGGTCCGCTTACAACCTTTGATTTTGATCCAACCAAACAGCTCTTTTTTTAAAAGAAATGCATCAAAAGCGGCCCAACCAAACCAGCTAGGTGGACATAGGACGGACCAAGAAATGGATGTTTAGGGCCTGAGGCCGACAGATGGACTTAGCTTGGACCATTGCTGAATATAAAACAGCGGACCAACATATTAAATTGGACAGCCTTACCAGATGGGCTTGACGGTTCAGAGTACAATAGGGCCCTATTATAGTTTCGTCATCCTCAGGGCACTAGGGTTTCGCCACCCTCTGGTATTTATAATCAATCTTCCCACCTCTTATTCGACATCTCTTTCCCTCCTTCCTCATCTGCCGCGGTTCTTCGCCGTCTCCGCTGCTTCCATTCCGGTCATGTTTGAATTTGACTAGTTATTATCCAGCGTTTTCACTGAGGCTTGTCCGTACCATCCGCAAAAGCAAAAGCCTTGATCTGATTTTCAACCTCTATTTTCTGCGGTGACGTTGAAGTAAATTTTTTCTCGTTTTGATCCCTGAAACTAATTTATCTTTTCGCTTTTCATTCAAAAGTAGAAGAAATTGTTGATTTTTACGGCTATGATGACGGAAATTATACCATCAAACTATGAGAGTTCTACGCAAGCTCGTTGATGTAATCTCGAATCATTAAACTCTGAGCCTATTTCTTCTTAGATCTTCAAAAAGCATTTTATTTACAATTTACCTGTAGGAAAAGGCAATAAATTAGAGTCTCTGATGCGCTTAATTTCCGTAGCGTTTTCAGCGCTGTACGTTGCCGATACGGATCTTTCGGGGGCTGAGATTCTGGCACTCGGTTTTTAGCTGTTCTGCATTCAGATGTCCCTACAGTTTTTATGTTTTTGAAATTTTGGTGAATATGGATGTGATGACTTTTTCCCCAGATGATCGAAGCTGAACATACTGTGCGATTTTCTCCGACTTAGTTGGAGATCCAAGCCAGATTACTGATCCATCTTCATCTAGATCCCTAAATCCCTTCAAAATCGGTGTAATTTAGTTTGATTTTGCTCTAATTATTGATTTTTTTCCATGAAAACGCTTCACTATCTGGTCAGTGTGGATTTGTTTGGTTCCCATATGACTCGTTCCCTTGAAGCAAAATTCATTGTGTTGCTCTTTTATTATCTCTCCCCAAACTCTTTTCCCTTGTTTCTTGGGAGAACACTGGAGCAACTATATTTGAAATCAGTACTCCAAATCATTAACTCTAGGTAATGAAATCTAGGTTTGTGTTGGTTTTGATAAATTTGTTTTTTGATGGGAGTGATTTTGAGAACGGTGATGAGTCAAACAGACCTGTAATGATTTGCGGTGATGATCGCAAACCTAATGAACATCTAAGGGACTGAGTTCTGTAAGACACTCCCATTCCCTTTTGTTTTCATTGTTTTGACAAGTGATTCAGGTTTTATGGCTTCATCTTTAAGCTTGAACTGATTCTATCATATGGGTTTGAGTAATGCTGAAGCCTAAATCCAATGTTCCCCTCGCTATCCATTGCTGCAATGATGTGGTATTTGGACGTCGGGGAAATACATCATCTTGTGCACTCCTAAACGTGTTTGCACTTCCGAGATCATATCAGTATTACGGAACTGTGGTTTTGTATTCATTACCTTTTAAATCAATGGGAGGCAAATTACTCACCATGTTCAGAAAGTTGAGTTCTTTGGCTCTCCTTGATTCAAAAATGTGATGGATTGAACTATACTGGCGTAACAGAAGTTTTGACACCTTTCAAATGTCTGTCTGCCTCATCTCTTTGAAGATCTCAAAACTAACCTGCACTAATGGTGTATGTAGCCGGGAGCTTTTCAAGAACTGAAGGCTGAATTCTGCAATGAGTTGTGTATATTACACATTGAAGTTTGATTTCCTTTCTCTGCGGTCTCATGGTTGAGCTTTGCAGATTGTGTATTGTTTATTAATTCAAGTAAGAATTTCAGTTTCCTGGCATCTGTTAAATCTTTGGCTCATGGTTATATATGTATAAGAAGCTGTTATTTTCAACTGTGGAGGATCATGACATATTCTCCATTTATGTAACATTTTCAACTAATTCATAAATTCTAAGGGATAGGATGGATGAAAGACAATCGCAGTTGCCAATCGAATAAAAGGCATGTACTTACCTTTACCGGATATTCTAAAAAGTTATACCCTTTTGTTCTCGCACCAAATTGGTTTGGTAGGATTTGTCTTACCTGGTCTCCTGATTAAAAGGAAGACTTTGGTAGGATTTATCTTACCTGCTTTCCTGATTCAAAGGAAGACAATAGAAAAACAAAGAAGGCAAAAGGTGCAGATCACCCCCTCAACTCAACAATTGGTGGCAAATCACCCCCTTAGCACACTTCACGCGCAAATCAACCCCTCAACTCACCTGCAGTGGCAAATCAGCCCCTCTCTTAACGCTTCCGTTAACATTTAACAGTTCACCATCAGCCGTTCCTCTGGGTCTAACGTAGCCTTTTTTTGGCTGAGATGGAGGTGCCACCTGGAAAAATACCTCAATCCAACCCCAAAATAAAAGCCCATATAACCTGCTCCATTCTTCAACAGCTTAACAACCTTGTTAACCCTTGTTTTGTTCTCTCCGAGGAGCCCAAGCAGAGGTATGTTTGTTTCCTCAATGGAAGCTAAATCAAGTTTATGCTCTTAAATCAGTGATTTTGATGGGTGTTTTGAGGGGTTTGTTGGTGGGTTTGGGGTTTTGTAAGTGCAGATGAAGAAAGGGGAAATCCAGGGAGAGAAGATGAAGAACTGTGAGCTATGCGAAGGCGCCGCCGGAATATACTGTGAGTCCGACCAGGCGAGTCTGAGTTGGGACTGTGACCGAAAAGTGCATGGCGCGAACTTTCTGGTGGCAAAGCACACGAGGAGTCTTCTCTGCCACTCCTGTCAAAGTTGCTGAATTTGTGTATGAGATTTCTTTGGTTTATGGTGTTTTTGCTCTCTTGTTCTGGGTCTCTTTAGTGGTTTAGACGGTATTTTGAAGTGTCATTACTTGGGTTATGGGTTTAAAGTTGTCTTCTTTTTGTGAATTGAGGTATGAATTATGGAAAAGATGTTAGATTTGCTAATTCTGTGACCTGGGTTGTGCCGTAAATGATTGTTCTTTGGCGTTTGATTTTCTGAGACTTCGTTTTAGATTTTGGGTTGTGGCATTATCGGCTCGGGATTTTAGCTTCTTTCTTTTACAGGCATCGTTTTAGATTTTGGCTTGGGTTAACAGCTCGCTCAATTGCCACCAGGGCAGAGTAGAGAGTGAGAAAATGGTTATCATCCACTCCAAGCTTTCGTTCCTAGTGAAATTCGTCCACACCATAACGAAGACGAGCATGATAATCTTCTGAAGTGTATCGGCGACAATGAACCTGTAATTCATTTTGTACGAATTGTTGGTGGAAATAAAGTGGAAAGACAAGAGCGGGACAGCGAATATGGCGACGAAATGGTTGATGCCGGAGCACTGGTCTGGCGATAAAATCTTCCACCAGCGCACCGACCCATATGCCAAGATCATCGCTACGTAAAGCGGAATCACTGCCTTCAAGACGGTGTACAAATCCTTCTAAGAAATCATTTTTCACAAAAAAAAAAAAGAAAAGGAAAAAGAAAAGAAAAGAGTTTTTTTTAGCAAAGATTTTTTTTTCTTTGGCTAAAAACCTGTTAACAAAGATTAAAACTTTGAAACCCAAGAAAAAAAAAAAGCCACGCCAGACGCAGGGGGTGGGGGGCTCATGAGCGGATCGTTAAAAGTTAACGGATGATGATGTCAGCTTAATAGAGGGGCTGATTTGCCACTGCAGGTGAGTTGAGGGGTTGATTTGCCGGTGAAGTGTGTTAAGGGGGTGATTTGCCACCAATTGTTGAGTTTAGGGGGTGATTTGCACCTTTTGCCAGCAAAGAAGGCTTCTTTCTCCAGTAAGTTTTGTGCTAAATTTGATAATAGACTGGTGGAGGGATTATAGAATTTTCTTGAAAGATTTGCAAATTCAATTTTTTTTATTTTTT